GACCTCAGGAATGTTTTAAGATAAATGACCATACATGTGGAAAAGTTTAGGTGAGCAGTTATTTCTTGTAGTGATAGCTGTGTATGGTTACAGATACGTCACATATTTTCCCCTTCTCTCATTACCCACTTTCTTCTTGTCTGATCGCTCTCAAATAAATGTCATTAGAGCCAATAAAACCTCTTAAAAACATTCTGAATCAAAGTATTGTGAGACTACTGCTGCTATTTTTACATACTGAGTGATGGCAAGACTTCAGTCTTTTCCAACAGCATCACTGTCTCTTTGGTTTGTGTGTCTGTTTCAGGAAGTTGCCGGAGAGCTGGAGGAGAGTAAGTATCAGTATGCTGAACCCCGACTGTCAATTTACGGCCGATCTCCCAGCGAGTGGGAGAACCTTGCCACATGGTTCATCCAACAGAAGGTCCACTCCCCCAACATGAGATGGATGATCCAGGTTCCAAGGATCTAGTAAGCACTCAGTCTTACTTATAGAGCAAACCACAGACCATTGCCCTCATGGCACACTTTGATGTTAGCATACATCATGGGTCCATTCAGAAAGTGTAATTACGGTATCTAGAAACTCAAGATCAGTTACTTTACAATTACTTAAAGGCAACTGTCTGATTTGTTCATTCTTTGTTTGGTTTCTTGCTTGCAGTGACATATTCAAGTCAAAGAAACTGGTGCCGAACTTTGCCAAGATGCTCGAGAACATTTTCCTTCCACTTTTCGAGGCCACCGTCAACCCTCAAAAGCACAAAGCGATCCACGTGTTCCTAAAATACGTACGTCCTTTCGCAACACCCACGTAAACGAAAAGACAAGCTGTAGACGATTTCTCCACATCTGGTGGAGCACAATAGTGAACGTTGCCTCCGTCGTCCTGCAGGTGACGGGGTTTGACAGTGTGGACGACGAGTCCAAACACAGCGACCACATGTTCAGTTACAAAAGCCCGAAGCCTGAGGAGTGGATTGAAGACAACAACCCTCCATACACCTACTACCTCTTCTACATGTATGCTAACATCATGGTGCTCAACAACCTGCGCAAGTAAGTTTAGCCTGTTGGTGAAGCCGATTGGGGAAAAAAAGTAAGGACAGTTTTGGAATAGCTAGCTAAAAAGTTAGTTGTGCTAACATGCTATATCAACATGGTACTGAGCAGAACCAGTGTTATGTGCACCACTGTGTACATAACAAAATAAACTATTCAATTTCAGTTTTAATAGTTGAGTATAGCTAACTCTGTTGCTAGTTGCCAAGTGAAGCTCATGGCAACGTGACTCTGAACGTGTTTGTGTCCACAGGGAGCGAGGCCTCAACACCTTCCAGTTTCGTCCTCACTGTGGAGAGGCCGGCTCCATCACCCACCTGGTCTCTGCCTTCCTGACTGCAGACAACATCTCCCATGGACTCAATCTCAAGAAGGTGCAGCCCTCCTGCTGTGACGCGACTTAGTGGCCGCAAATGAATCCATAAAGCCAATAAGCACCATTTGTTGTTTCCAGGGAGAAAATCCTGGTCAAAATTCAAGTTAAATCAATGAGTCCCGGTTTTTTGATCAACATTTTAGCATCCCGCCTGCAGGTGGCAGTGTTTCTCACCTTTATGACACTGTTGCCTGAACTTCACTTGACCTCTCGTTGTAGTCCGTTGACAAGTAATACAGACTCACATTTGACATCATACACAAATGTAAATTTGTCCAAATTCCTTGAAAATATTTTCAAATTACAATTCAATACAAAAAGATGTTCAACATTATTTAATTATAAGAAGTATCAAGTGCAGATAGTTCTTTATTAATACATTAGCAGCTTAATGGACCCATAAAGTTGTATTGATTCATGATCTTGATGTGTCCTAAAAATGACCCCACTGCGCTAGACGATGTGAACTCTTATCTTAACTCTAAGGTTTCCATATCCAGCAATAACAGAACAGATTTAAAGCAACTTTGCTGTAATATGTTCAGTTTCTACTGAAGTCTGGTCAATGAAATGTCTCTACATGTCTGTCAATAAACCAGGAAGACGGACATGAGTTGTAGAGAGATTGATTTATGTATTTTTTTTTTGTCACATACCTTAAAAAACAGATTTTGTTTTGAAGGTTTCAGTGAGGTGTCAAAAAAAAAAAAAAATCAGCCCATTTCTCTTTCCTCACAAGTTGTTCTGGATCGTCTGACAGACGAACAAGTGTTGACCTACATCAGTGATCCCTGACACGTGTCCTCGTCTTCCTCAGAGTCCGGTGCTGCAGTACCTGTACTACCTGGCCCAGGTCCCGATCGCCATGTCCCCGCTGAGCAACAACAGCCTCTTCCTGCAGTACTCCAAGAACCCACTGCGAGAGTTTCTCCACAAAGGCCTGTGTGTGTCGCTGTCCACCGACGACCCCATGCAGTTCCACTACACCAAGGTCACAGACATCGCCGTACCCGCATTCATACCCCGCTTTCTCTCAGAGGCTTATCAAGTGATCGGGCATCATTGGGTGTTGCAGGAGCGTTTGGGTGCATTTTTGTTTGTCTAGCTGCTAATATGCTCCTAAAACAAATGTTCCAGGAAGCGCTGATGGAGGAGTACGCTATAGCGGCGCAGCTGTGGAAGCTGAGCACGTGTGATCTGTGTGAGATCGCCCGGAACAGCGTCCTGCAGAGCGGACTCTCACACCAGGTAAAGACGGACGGGTCGTCTCCGCCTTAAAAGCAACGAAACCGGCAACTTTCTGGCTGTTTTGTAGGCTGTTATATTAAAGACGTGACAAATTATACACACGTATGCATTACTGTGATTTTCTAATCAGAATCAGCTTTGACTGCAGAGTTTGTGCGCAGAAGGAATTTGCTTAACTCCGAGTAAAGACATTTCAAAATATAAATATGTATAAAAAAAATTATTCCAACCACAATATGAGGCAATAATACTTTGGTTTTAAGAATGTCAGTCAAAGGCAAAGTACAAATATGAACCAGTTTAAAAATATGTCCAAAAATGAACTGATAGGAAATGATGTGTGTCTCAAAGGCCAAAACTGCAATTGCTCACATTAATAATCTGCCAATAATGATACAGTTATGGTAGAAATTAGATGTTTAATGGATATTTAAGATTTATCTGATGTGTGGAGGGAAACATTTGATGTCTGTGAAAGGAATCTATTTTCTCCCTGCTCCTTTTTGAACAAATTGTGTCAAATTGCATGTCAGTTGAAACGACAATATTTCTCTTGTAGTTTCTTTCCTGTTTTTACTTTTCATTTTCTGTTCGAATTAAATTAGTAAAGACATTTTCTTTTACTGATAACACCCAGACTGCCATCTAGTGCTCAAAACTGGTATTGCCTTTAACACTGGAAAGGAACATTCAACTCGGCTTAATGAATGGAAGAAATGAACTTCCTCTTATTTATTTTTTTTTATTTTATTGTGGGATTCTTTGCTTCTAAGCCCTTTGGAAACCAGACAAAAAAGTTCTGTTCCGGACTGTAAAGTATTGGATCTCATGTCATTTATGTCAGAGTTGTGTGATGCAGAAAATTTTGATACCGATCCGATGCTACATAAACACACCAGCAGTATTGCTGATAATGATACTTTTTTAAACTCCAGTTTAACATTTCATCAAACCTCTGACCTTCACATGTTTTTGCTTTAATTTTTTTTTTACATAAAAAAAAGAAGGAATTTGGACAAAATAACACATTTTCACAATATAAAAGAACAATGAAAACAAAACATATTTTTGTGCGTCTTTTCCAGAAAAAAATAAAATGAAAATAATTAACATTTTAGAAAAAAATCTAAGCACCTTTTTTGTTAGAGAAATTCGAATACAAAAAGTAAAACTTCAAAAGGGAATCCGAGACTAAAGTATCGATCTTATCAATCCGATACCAATACAGGCTTGATATCGATATGAAGCTCTAGTTTATGTCCAGATTGTTGACCTGACTCGCGATTCCTTTTAACAAAAACTCTGTACCATGAATGTTCCTTCCCTCATGGGCTGTATGTTCTAAACCCACAGGAGAAGAAACATTTTCTCGGCTCCAACTACCTTCAAGACGGACCAGACGGCAACGACATCCGGCGGACCAACGTGGCCCAGATCCGTATGGCGTACCGCCACGAGACTCTGCGTAATGAACTCAGCTTCCTGGTGGACGCCGTGAAGACGGAGAGCGCTCTGAACCCAGCCGAGTTGTAGACCCGACGGGTCCGACCCAAACGCCTGGGCTGCGTCTTCAGACAACGGGACTCTGACTAGACAGCAGAATTTTTTTTTTTCAATTTCAGTTTATTGGGGTTTGTTTTTTTTTCCTATTTTTTCTCATAATGTTGGGTGTGGGCGTATGTAATATGTCTGGGCTCTGGGTGGAGCCCCCAGCCCAGATATCACCGTTTATGTGCCTCTTTCCATCTGGTTATTTTGTTTAGTTTTTGAGTACATTTGTGCAATTATCATACAGCAACTTGTCTGTATGATTATGAATTTTAATGAGGGAAATGTCACTTTTTATCAAAGTATTAATAATGATTTTATGCTGTTGCAAGGATTTTTACGAAAGGTTTATGGTTTATTGAATATAAAAACATGTTTGCGTATATCAACAGTTAAAATTGATTAGATAATTCTTTTACAAAATGTCTGATTTCTGTTTTTCCACAACTTAAATAAAGGCTGTAAAACAGATGAGAATGTTTAACATGTCAATTTGTCTGAAAAATGACAAAAGTTTCCTTTTTAATTAAAGCAACATTTTAATGATGATGTTGGGAGCAACACAAGTCTTTGAAGAATCATTCATTTCTCTGAGTAAACGTTTCTATACGTTTACTCAAAAGCAGAATTGGGCACCCAAATCTGCATTTGATTTATTAAACTTTGCTATTAACTGGCCATTAATTTTACCTACATGAATTTAAGACTTTTTTATGCTATTCGCAGATCAAGAATATGACCAAATAAGTAAATAGGCAAGGTGATGGAGAGTTTGTGCAAAATCGAGCTTCTTTATTAACAAGGCTTCGATTTCATTATATTCACATCCATACATACAGCATTATCACTGAAAGTACTCCAGCAAAAAAAAAAGAAAAAGAAAGTACTTCAGTTAGTGGGATTACAGTAAATGCTCCAATCTTAAAGTGGAAATACCAAAAAAAAAACCCAGAAAACTACAGTAGTTTGCAAAACCTATCAAAACTCAATAGTGTCAGATATGTGCAGCAGCGCCACCTAGAGATATGTGCAAACTGAACAAGTTATTAAATGCATTAAATCACAACTTTATCCAACATTCAGAAAATAAAATAGAAATATAAAAAAGTTTTTAATTTAAGAGAACATTAAAAAAAGAAAAAGCTGAGTGATCAAATCAAAAACCACAAACAAAAAAAATTCTGACTAATTCATATCAACACAGAATTCATTAAAGTCTTTGTGAAATAGAAACATCTTACTGAACGTATTAACTTCACAATGTATCAGTAAATACATGAGCGTAAAACTAGAAAATAATGATAAAAGCTTTAAAAGGGGAGACAATACATGTTGAGTTCATGACAATGTTTAAACATAAACTATTGTTTAAATGATGTTTAAACAATGGTTTAATACAGGGGTTTTAATGTGTTCTTAAAGTGACAGTACAATATTAAACACTAGACTTTACTTGCTGCAGGGGTTTATTAGGGCAACTGTAGACAGAAAAAAAGGAGTAAATTTCCACCAATCTCAGGAATTTTTTAGAAAATTTTTTTTTCCAAATTTCTGAGTTTGAAGTTGAAAATGTACTGAATTTCCTGAGACTGATCTCAGAAATTCGTCCGAAAACTACAAATTTCTGAGCTTGAAAAGTGGCAAATTTCCAAGAAAGAAACTTTTCCTTGAACATTTCTGAGATTAAGTTCAAAATCTCTCGAGTTTTATCAAGCAAACCTTCAACTTTTCAAACACAGAAATGTGCTCACTTTCTCGAGAAAGTTTCTGAGTTTAACTTACTCCTCACTCCATCTTCTACGACAAGCCATCGTAGTACGGTTTGAATTTGTGAAATTGTCAAGCTAAGGTCGGACGGTCTCCCCATAAATCACAGTTAATTATTAACCCGAGAGCAGGAAGCACTCAGAACCAGAACCAATACTCAAACAGAACCCAATGAATTTCTGCCTCAAAGGAAACGTGGCACCAGCGGACATGAGAAAACAACAACAGATTTGCTCATTCAAACATATTTATGCGGAGATGAGAATTCATTTATTTTTATGCAACAATATAGAACACATTTTTCTATGTACAATGAAAAGAACATCTTAGAAAGCAAAGTAGGATTTTATCAGAGTGAGGGAAGCTGTCATGTCATCTGAATCATGTTCCTTCACAGTTTCTCATCCCAGAGCTCATTTGGGACTGAGTGGGGAACAAGCATGCAGGGCTTTGCAGATGGGAAAAAAATTTGACTAGACCACTTCTCTTCGAAAGTTCAGAAAACAGGAAAGTGATTTTGATTTGCGGGGGGAAAAGAAAAGGAAAAACCAAGATTATCTTCTTTTCTTTTGTGTGGGGAAAATATCACTTTAAATCTCACATATATGCTCCCAAATATTGCCACCTGTTTTAGAGGGCAGTGAAGGCAACATCAGGTTTCTGCCAGGACTGGTTTCAGTGGCGCCGCAGCTCAGCAGAACCCGGCCTGAACAATTACAACTCAGCAGGAAACAGAAAACAGGACCTAATGGAAGCATGAACGGCCTTCATTTGGGGCTTTTAGGTCGTTCTCCCGTTGCTCAGCAACTTTGTCGCTACATTTAGCAACTTCTCAGACAAAAAAAAATAAAATAAATAATCGTCCAAAATCAGAATCGGTAGATCAGACTTTTTAAAGATTGGAGGTCGACTGGAAAACTGGTGAGAAAAACAGAAGAAAAAAAACCATATAAGAGCTGAATGAGGCGAACAAAATGCAAAATATCTGTTGATTAAGGGCTGCAATGTATGATTATTTTAGTAAAGCCTTCAGAAATACATTAAAAGATGCAAATAAATTATTCAATGTCTTTTTAAATAAGAAAATAAACATTTCATTGCCTAAAATGAAACAATATATGTTTTTAATTTCCCTTCAGGATCAATAAAGTAATACTTTAATTAAATTGAATATTCTTGCAGCACTGTAGGTCTCTAACAGCTGGTAAAGTTAACTTTTTTTTGAGACCAACACAGATGTTTTAACAGTTTTATCCAAATTACATTATGTGGCACAAAAAAACTAATTTACTGGCAGAAACAAAACCATCAAATAGACGTTTCTTGCACAGTAAGACTCTTATTTGGTTTTTACTGTTTTCTGAAAGTTGTTGAAAAGCTGGAGATCCTTTCTGTCACCATCTACAGCAACTCTTTGAGGAATCTTAAAGAGGCAGTGTCATGAATTTCCCAGTTTCATCAAGAAAGTGTTACCTTCAGTTGTTATAAAATTTACCAAAATATCAAATACGACGTAATTTAACCCATTGAAATTGGGTCTCTTTGTGAAACTCCGCCCTCAGGAAGTCATCCCAATATGGCTCCTCTATTAACCCTTTACCAGCATTTCACTGAGCAGTAACTCAGCAGATGCCCAGTTCCACCAGGTGTTTGCTAATTGATGCTGGCTAGTCTGAAGGAGCTGAGCGGAGGGCTGCTCTGTGAGGCAGAAGCTTGAAAACTGCAGCTCTGGGGAGGAGCTTTCTCGTTGAAGGCGGGGCTAGGTCCAACCAGGCGTTTTGCACAGCGGAATGAGGAATCATTGAATCTCCATGACAACCAAATGTGCATAGAAGGATCAAGGTAACCCTCCAGGTACATTTCTGATGAGAACATGAGTCAATTTTACATCATACTGCACCTTTAATTTCCCCTTGGAAACTAATTCTGAATAAGAATTTATATAAATTGAATCTGAATGTATATTTGAACCAGTTCTGATTCATCATTAAAAGCCCAAAATGATTCATGCTGATGACAGGTACATGTGAACGTCTCACCAGAGCTCTGTGTGTGTGTGTGTGTGTGTGTGTGTGTGTGTGTGTGTGTGTGTGTGTGTGTGTGTGTGTGTGTGTGTGTGTGTGTGTGTGTGTTATGGAGCACAGTCCTGTTTGGAACAACAAAGAACACAAGAAGGAACACTCAAGCTGCCAAGTGCATTCTGGGAATTTGAGGCCTTGAACAGTAACTTGGTGTCTGCCGTTAAATCACAAGGAAGACGCTACCAGTTGCTGTTTACGTGGAACATAAAGATCTCCCCAGTCAAAGTGTCACTGTGTGTTTAATCAGGCGAAGCGCTGGCCTCCCTTACTGTGCGCGGCGTGTTAGGGCTGGTGTGGGTGGCCCGCCTCATCGGCCAGGTTCAGGATGTAGCTGACCACTTCGTCCTCTGAGGGGAAGTCGGACATCACCCACGAGTCGTTGGCAGCCGTCACCTGCAGCCGGCAGATGGGGCAGTTCCGGCTGCGGCCGCTCCTGCCAACGCAGAAAACGCCACGCGACGTCAATGAGAAGCCACCATAAACGGCTCCGGCATAAACAATACGTTTATGTCAGCCATCATGCTGCTCCAGTCATTATGAGCCTGGCGGTCTGCCAGGCTTTACTTGTGCTCTCACCAGGCTAAACATTGCTGATTTATCATTATTATTATTATTTTTTTTTCAAAGGTTTGCATTTTTTAAAGAAGTTATAGTCAGTTTTCAAGCATTAATCTTCCAATAACATAACTATCATGTGATATTTTAAAATTTCCTGTCAACTTTAAACATCCGAAACGCGGCGGAGCCCCAACCGCCAGGCTGAGCCCCAACCGCCAGGCTGAGCCCCAACCGCCAGGCTGAGCCCCAACCGCCAGGCTGAGCCCCAACCGCCAGGCTGAGCCCCAACCGCCAGGCTGAGCAAGTTTTCTGGGGGAAACCCTGACGCTGCTAACAAATGCATTATTCTGATTCTGCATTAAAGACTTAAAGAAGAAGAAGACTCTTGTAAAAGTGCATCGCCTCACAGCTGCTTTATTGACCTTGTTGTTCTTATGTGTGAATAAAATAAAATAAAATACAATACAATAAAAAAAAGCAAGCTTCACCATTTGTCGATGCATTTCTGACAGAAGCTGTGAGCGCAGGGCAGGATGAGGTCAGCCTTTCCGTCCATGCAGATGCAGCACTCCTCCTGGTCGGTCAGCTGCTTCACCCTGCACACAGTAACACACACCATTCAGCTCCACAACAGCTTGCAGAACCATCACTTTTTCCCTCCCTGCTAATTAAAAATGTGAACGCTCTCTGCTGAAGAAGAGCCACTCCTGTGTCCTGACCTCCCCATCCACATGCTGGCCTGGCAGGAGTCGGTGGAGGGCAGCTGGGCGGACGAGCCCCTGACGGCGCCCTCTGCTGACAGAACCTCGGCCGCCTGGCTGGTGATGTCCCGGTACAGCTGGATGAACTGATACAGGTTCATGATGCGAGACGCCTCCACCACGCCGTTCTCCTTGTTTATCTGAGAGACGACAAATTCAAACCGGATCGTCTATCACCAAAAACGGTTACAGAGGTCAAGGCCGATTTATTGGTGCTTTCTTTGTATTTTTGAAAGTGGAGACATTTTGATTGTTCTGGTAACTTTGGGGACAAATTCGACGGGAACAACTAAATAAAAAAAAAAAAAACAAACAGCTCAAACCCATCAACAAATAAAAATCTAAAATGCACAATGTCCTGCTGGATGATCTACCAATGAGAACATTTCCACAGTTCTACTGCGATCCGATGGGTTCTGAATTTGTTTCTCTCTAAGATGCATTTTCATCTTTTTTCTTTTTGCTAATAGTCACAGTAATTTGGCATATGTGACGGAAATCTTCCACTTTAAGTTCTTTGAAAATAAAAAGGTCCAACAAAGGACTGGGTTTGTAAAATTAGCCTGTTGCTAGAAAACAACGGTTGCTCTGTTTTCAGCATGTAACATTGTTCGGTGTGCCGTCCTTCGTGAAACACGTTTGAATTCAAGCACAGTCGAATGTGGACCGGCGCTACTCCAGGATGTCACCTTGGTGCAGACGATCCGGACGGCCACCTTCCACAAGGCCGAGGCATCAGAACCGGGCTGGACCTCAAACAGAAGGTGCTTCTGCTGCCCGGCAGCTAGCTTGGCCGTCCTGAGAGGAGAGAAAATGTCGTAAACAAATCAAACGGATTCGACCGGAAGGCTTTCCGACATACTTCATCTGGAGTGCCGAAGTCTGTTGGCGCTGGGGTAAATGCGTGATGACAATGACAGAATGTGGTGTTGACACTCACACGTCATTGAGCTCAGCTACTCTGCCCAAGAACTCCTCGTAGGTCAGGTAGCCACCGTCTCGGACCAGTCCAGCATGTTTCACCAGCTTCTCAGGCAGATGGTTTATCTGACCTGAGATTTGCTGGCCCATCCTGGAAGCAGCGGCAGTACTTTACCGTCCAGCAGGGGGCAGCACTTCATTCAGTTTCACAGCACCTGCTGGCAAAGCGAACTTCTTAAAACAGATCAAATGTTCTTCTCTAAGGCTGCGTTGTTGTTCTCTTGAGTGTCCCCTTCGGCTCTTATGAAGGGGACACTTCATAAGAAGTTCCTGTTCCTGTTCCAACCAAAGGCAGCCGCGGACTTCCTGCACTGACAGGAAGGTCAGATTGTTTTGAAATATGTGTGATAAACATGAACAGTCGTAGTGTGGAGGCTGAAAGCGGACCACCTCCAGCCTAACGGTTGAATCTCAATCATTAGACTGAATGAAATTAAATGAAAAATGTATAAAATCGTGTTTTAAAACTGCAACTGCCAGCCAGTAATGGCATGTCAGTTAAGGAGCTGGAGAGTTCAAACAAAATACAAACAGATTAATAAATCAGTTAAAATCAGCTGGCTAAAATTATAATCATCCATAGAACGTAAAAACAAAAATTTAAAAATATTCTGCACTTTAAGAAGATGTAATTTACTCCATTTTTGAGGCGTTTGTTTTCTGTTTTTATATTTATGTCTGTCACAATAACAAATTTCACAATAAATTGTCCTGGTGATTTGCTTAGTCATTTATTTGCAATGGCATAATAATGCTAGTTCACCTCGCAATAAACTTTCATTTTGTGCAGCACATTCTACACAGAAACTGGAAGATATTTTAACTATCCAAAATAAAACATAAAACCAAAGGTAAAAAAAATAAATAAAAAATTGCTAACAACCCACACCAGAAATAAAATGGATTATAAAGTCTCTGTGAACAAAATTTCCCTTCAGGAAATATTAATTATCAGAATGGAAATGATGGAGCTCATTTTTATTTAACGTGCGACTAATCAAGTCATTGCTCATTCCGACAGGATTATTTTTATCCTTATTCTGACCAACACCCGTCTCTATAGCGGCCACAGTGTGTGAGACCGAAGGAGTGTGTGTGCGCGTGAACGACACCGCAGATGGCGGCGGAAAGGAGGATTCCTCAGACAACCGAGAACATCATGAACAACCCTGAGCTTCTTCATGAGACTTCTTTACAACGAGTGTCTTCAGTCAGAAGCTTCTTCAGATCTGCGGCAACACAGACTGCTACAAGAACTTTTGAATAATGAGTTACAAGAACATCTAACTTCCCTCTGGGATCAAGACAGTATTTCTGAATTGACTTTTGCCGATGCCTATGTTTTCAACCAAAACAATATTAAATGAATGGCATTGATAACAATATTATACTCATAATAAACAATGTTATCTTATCTTAACAGGTGCAATACTGGCTGCTTTCCAGTTTCAGAAAAAGAATGTTTAGATCCTATTATAGATGTTTATGTCAAATTACAAGGCTTCACCCAGAACACTTGCTAAGCCTCGTCATTGGGTACTAGGTCAGTCATTCATCCAGCGGCCCATGGTGTTTTCAAGTTAAAAAATGTTTGAAATTGACAGGAAATTTGAAAAGATCACTTGATAATTATGTATTACTGAAAGTTTGGAAGATTAATACCTGAACACCAACAATAAAGTCTTAATACATGCAAACATTGTTAAAAGACTTAAATAAATAAGCAATGGTTAGCCTGGTGGGGGCACAAGTAAAGCCTGGTGGCCCGCCAGGCTTACAATGCACTGGGGGAAACCCTGAATTATATACAAAACACTAATGGATACTCAGACTTGTGCTGATCATATCTTGTTCTATGAATAGTTTCAATATTTACAGCTGAGAGAGGATAATAGGTGTGTGTAACTCATTACTTAGTTGTGTGGTTTGTTGCAAACACTTTTAGTGTGGCTGTACAAAAACATTCAGGACATGAAAACATCCAGCAAATTAGGGTTGCACAATGAACCACAATCACACAATCACAATGTCAGCGTGTATCAAAGCACCAAAGGACTTTACTGGAATGAAGAGTTACACCTGACGCATGTGATAAGATGGCCGAGCCCAGAAACTAAAGTCCACCGTGTCAGTGACGTCGTAATAACAGCTGAGAAGGCGAGGAATGACATCATCTACATCGTCATCATCTACACAGAGGATATAGATGATGTACCAACATTTGATGCCATGACAACATTCAACAACTTTTCAGCTGGCAGATTTTCCAATACTATGCAGCCCCGTGCTAAATAAGTCTGTATAGTTCAAATACAACATTACTGATACATGTATTATTAAGCTGTTGTTGTAAATAAAGGTCTACTTTAAAATATATATATATTTCTAACAATATGTTAACGGACCGTTGTATTCAGACTGCTGGCCAACTGAGAACCATTTGAAACCAAATAAGCTGAAACGCGAACTCAGATCCAGCTAACCACTTCCTCTTATTATCATTTTTAAAATATTCATTTCGGGTCAAACTCAACTGAACCGAAGCTCAGTTCAAATTCAAAGTTCTACTGATAAGCTGTGTCAGCTAGCAAGAAGCAGCAGCTCTGCTGCCAAACCGCAGCGAGCGAGCCGGCTACATGCTAGCAACGAACAAGAAACGCTGCGACTGTGAAGGTTATTAACGACGGAGAACATTATTAACGTCACTCAAACTCACCACACTTCTCGTCCAGAAAGTTGAGTCTTCCGTCGCTGCCTTCGCCGAGAACTTGCTTTGACAAACACAACAACACGCAGCGGCGCGGCTTGATGACGCAATCACCGTCACTTCGTCGTTCGCCGCAAGTGGATTGGGTCATTTCTGTTCGAAGGTTTTCAATATTTGCTCATAATTTACCTCCTTGTTCACGTGGAACAATTGGAAGTAAATTGTCGGAGGTTGTTTCAGACATTTGTGCTCTTATTTGTTTCCTGTCACAGCAGATTGTAAGTATGAGTTAAAAAAAAGGGAAAAAAAAGAATGTGATTAAAAGTCAACACTAGTAAAGTTGTACTCATTCCTCTTAGTCCACTTCACTTTATTTTATCCTAATTTTTAAAATAACAATTATACTATTATTTGCGTTTCTACGATATTGTAAACACAAATTTCCATAAATTTAAATAGTATTAAAATCCCTTGAGCCTTTATACATTGTGTAATGGTACAACCAAATTTAATTTAAGATTATATCTAATAAACCGGCTGATAGAATGTCTTTCTTTTTGGAGTTTGCATGTTCTTTCTGTATAATAAAATGTCATATAATGTATAAAAATGTTGATTTGAAAATTATCTCTGAGTTTTGTAACATACCACCAGATGGCAACAAAGGACAAAGCAAACGCTGAAAAAAACCTTTGGGAAATGACTTTTTTCTTTAAAGTAAGGCCTTACACTTTTGAAAATTTAAAAATCTATAATCTAGCTTAAAATTACTAGCAAGACTTTAAAAAAACAGCCAGACAGTTCCAGCAGTGTGTAAATATTTTTTATAAATAGATCTTCAGAAAATGAACATCGTATTACAAATGCCCTTATGTACACAGCAGTTCTGTTGTTGATGCATCACAATGAAAATATACAAATCTTTAAGCAACCCATGAAAATATGGATTGATTTTAATTTACAGCACAGTAAAAATCCAAAATGAACTTGCCATATCAAACTAAAAAGTACAGAAAGACCTCAACATCCCTACTTTAACTGACTGATAGGCGGTGTGGTCCAGAGGCTGATAGTTCTGATGATGAGCCATTCTTTCTGACTAGCCGTGACAACTATTCTGACACACTCAATGTCAAAGCCAATCTTGTGGTCCACGTCATTAATCTCTATGTTGCCCACTTTAAATTCTCCTAATGTGATGTAGGATGAACACTGTCTTCCCTGTTTGGTCTCCACAGACTTCTGGCCTACTTCTAGAGCTCCGTGGTGAAGGATGTCGTTTTGCCGATCCTCCGTCCCTGTCACGATTTTGATTCGGCTAATTTTTGTTGATTTGTTGAAGATTATGATGAAGAAGTCTCCGGTGCAGGGAGGTTTCCCCCAGAAATACTCATCAACAATACTGCTATACGCCTTGGTGGCGTCGTAGTTCTCAAAGACGTTGATGTTGGTGTAAATGCCAGCCGGGGGGTTATCCGGGATGTCTATGGAGTCCTCCTCGAAGTCGTCGTCCTTCAGTTTGTTCTCCACGCCTTTGTAGGACGAGTAGTAGCCCATGTGCTGGAACAGCGAGGGCTTGAAGCGGATCACGTCCTTTTGAGCCAGCAGGCCCCGGAAGTGGATGAGAGCCAGTCGCAAGGCATTTCCTGGTAGAACATGAGGAGGAAGTGAGCCAGGCGGGGCAGGTCTCTGGAGTGGTACAGCTTTCCGATGTAACCCAGCTTGGAGAACTCCATCATCACCCAGTAGGAGCCTTCTCTGGAGGTTATCACCTTCTTCAGCGCCGTCAGGAAGTTCCGGGAGCAGCGCACGTCGTCCTCCAGCATCATGTAGAAGTGCGACAGATTTGTGCAGAAGTTCAGGAGGAAAGCGTAGTCGACGTTCTGCTTGGAGCGGAAATGGACTCTGTCCTCTGGATCGTTGTAGTTCCTCTTCAAGCCGTCCAGAGAAGGGTAGAAGTCCTCTGGGGCCTGGATGACCAGGAGGCGTCCGGCTATGATGTGGTGAGCGAACTTCCTGGTGATCTCCTGCACCACGTTCTCACACCAGACCAGGTCAAAGTCCGCCAGGTGGACCACAACCACAATCTCTTTCAGCTCCTCGTAGCTGGACTGGTCAAAGATGGACTTGATCGTCTCCAGGAGGTAGTTTCCCTTTTTTCTCTTGACAGATGCCAACCCGATGGTAAGATACTCTGAAATGAAATCAGTCTTATCATGTCACAAATAAAATGTTCATGCTCAAGTTGGCAACAGACATATTCAAGATGGTATACACTTGAAACCAGATATTTTCATAAACTTTATGAAAACACATTTTACCGGTATATTTCTTACTTTTTCTTGACAGAGGAATTCCAGCCAGGTAGCGATACGTCACATTGATACTCCCAGAGAAATTGGACAAATCTTTGAACGTGTGCACATATCTGTCAGAGCTTGAAGGATGAATCAACGTCTCTCCCAGCTGTCTCTTTTCGCCTTCCTAAAGCACAAACAAAAGATCAACAAAGAATGACGTCTGCTAAAACTAGCAGAGGTTTTAGATGCTAGATTCCAAATCGAGACTCGTACCAGGACGTAACCATCGTTCACGTAAAGGTTGAAAAAGAGCAGCGCGGTGAGCAGGAAGGTGAGGACGGGGAGCGTGGATCGTTTTCTCAAACACCTCATCTTGTCCACGGACTTCCACAGCAGCCTCATGATCACAGCTGTGACTGCTGGGAAATAAAGAGAAGCAGTGGAAGTGGGAATGGTATTTGTTTATGTTTCAGTTCCTTTCTAATACTTTGCCACAAAGTATTAGAGATAAAAATCTGTGAAAATATGATTCATTTTAATAAGAAGGTCAATTAAATGATGGTGCCAGGATGACGCCTGTAAAGCAGTTGAAGCAAGACTAAAATAATAGTCTTAAGAAAATCTGCAGTACCAGAATGTCTGGCGGTAACAGAGGCATCTTCAATAGCACAGAATAGCTGGTTACATCATTAACCATGGTAGCCAGAAAGCAGAGCTTCTGTAGCAACACAGATGAGTGTGATCTGACATCTGTAGACCAGAGGGAAAGGAGCTGCATATCGGGAGCCATTTGTAAAATTACAGTCAAAAATTAACAGCAATAATTTATTTATATATAGAGGAAGTCATGAAAGAAAAAAAAATGGGAGTTAATTTTTTAGATTGAAAAATCTCATTCATTCATTTATAAATCAACAAAATCTAATAAATTTTGATTTGTATAGCACATTTCAGCAGCAAGGCATTTCAAAGTGATTTTTATGATAAACACAAAAACACAAAGTCATGTAACGTAGAATCAACAATCAAAACATGACATTAAATCAAATGCCATCGTTAAATTCGTAATTGATTATGTTTCAAAAACAACTCTGAACAGGTGGGTTTTTAGTCGAGATTTAAAAGCACTCATTGTTTCAGCTGTTTTCCAGTTTTCTGGAAGTTTGTTCCAAATTTGTGGTGGACAGAAGCTGAATGCTGCTTCTCCTCGTTTGGTTCTGGTTCTGGGGTTGCAGAGTAGAACCAGAACCAGAAGACCTGAAGGTTCTGGGATATTGATACAACTATAACATATCTTTAATGTAATGTGGGGCTGAGCCATTCAGTGATTTATAAACTGACAACAGCATTGTTACACGAAAGTAAATGTCACAGTTTCTAACTAAATGTTTAATTAGAAACCTAAATATTTAGTTTACATATTCATATTTATCTCCAATTTAAATAATTATCTAAGTATTTAGTTTGAAACTAAATATCTAACTTGCTACAAATTTAGCTTCAAATTATTAGTGTGGAGGTAAACATTTAGCTCACTAGCTAAATACTTAGTTTGAAATATTTAGTCTGAAACTAAAATACTTTAGTTTGGAGCTACATTTTTATTTGGTTAGCTAAATATTTAGCCACCAACTAAACATTTAGCAAGATAGCTTTAGCTAGTTAATCATTTAGTTTGGTAGTAAGTAGTTTGAAACCATGACATTTATAAATGAATGACTAATATAGTGAAAATATGTGTTTCTCCTCCAAATGATAGTCTGACTTTACAAACGACGCCTCATTAGTATGACGACGTTTCATAAATTCACAGAATCTTTCTTGAAAATGTTCTTTCAATCCCTTTCAGGCTCCAGCAGACGTTCAAACTTTAAACCCTCCGAGCTGTGAAGCCGAGTGCCAATCATCAAGATCACAGGGTTCTTAGTCAGATCTCAACACGTACATTTATTTCCTGTTAACTTGTTTTATGGATCTGAGACACATCAGCGCAGATGATATTTAATCGTTTGGAATGTTTGTGGATTGAAGAAACACTAAAGTGAAAGAAAGAAAGAACTGAAAAGTCAGAAAACGGCAAAAAGAAAAGGAAAAAAAACTCAGAATACAGAAATCTGCAAAGGTATTTCTGTATCCTTTCTCATCATCCTTGTCTTTACAGTTGGATGCCAGTTATTCATATCTAACAAAATGGATAATTCTAACTTTAATCAGAATAATAATCAGCTTGAACCCCGAGGCATCAATCACAGCCTGGACAGATCGTCATCTTTAATTACGTTTTGTTGAGCTACTCGACATGACGGATGTAACCGTGGGGGGTCTGAGGCCGATGCAGAGGGCTGATTTGAAGGTTTTTCACTGGATGGGGCTAAATGGCTGCTACTGAAGAATCGTTTCGTTAATCCGCTCTCAAGCTGAGACGTCAGTCATCTGTTCTGCTGTTGCAGGCCAGATGATTGTCCAGACGTTCTTAAACGGATTTTCTGATGGGAAACTAATGCTCCTGGCACGAAATATGGTCATATTAAACGGATTTCTTACAGGACAGATTTTTTGATGGGAGGTTCTGTAAAAAAATATATAGGTGTAACGAGAAGTTTACATTCATCAATTAAGATACATTCACCTTTTTTTCCCCCACTGAAGTTAAATCAGACCAAACTTCTCTGGTTTTAGTTGAGCTAGAATTACCCAATTTATTTTTATTTGCCAACTGCCACAATAATGGGAAAATAATGTCAGAGATTTGTTTATTCATGTCTTCAACCTCAAAAATGTTCATACAGAATGATTACTGCCTCTTTCAACAAGGAAGTTT